CCCCCCCCCCCAGGTTCTTTGTCAGCTGCCGGAGGCCAGGCTGCAGGCTTGAGCCTGAGCGGAGGGGACCCCGGGCACCTCTTGTTCTCCGAGGACTCCACGTGGCGCCGCATGCTCTCGCAGGACCGCGCCAGGTCCAGCAGGACCACCATCTGGCACTCTGTGGTCACAGGAGGGGCGGCTCAGTGGCAGGGCACCCAGGGTGAGGGCACCGTGCAGGCGGGGGTGTCGCCCAGGGGGAGGAGGATAGCAGGAACTCAGCCTGACCCGACCGAGGCTCCGACACCACTCGTCCCCTTCCTGGGTCGTGTGGGCTGCACGGGCAAGCTGGCCGTTATTTGCCTCGGCCGACCCACACCCTTCACGTCCTCCTTGGGTGACCGGGCCGGGCGAGGGAGGGAAGCCCACCCCGGGGCCTGCCACGGCTCTCCCTGCCTCACAGAGGGGTCTTGGCTCCCAGAGGCCACCCATGAGGCACTCCAGCTTGCCAGGGGCTGGGCGTCGGTGGCCCTGGCCCCGTGTGCCCACTGAAATGGGGCCAGTGTCCAAAATGCAGCTCTTGGATGTGGGTGTGCAGAAAGCCCCACAGATGCTGAGGCCAAGCGTCAGGGGCCGTCCCCAGAAGGGGCAGAGCCTCCAGCTGTGTGAGGACAGGCCTGGCTGGGAACAGCGGGAGCACCCAGCGATGCTGTCATCCCTACAGGCGTCTGGGAGCCTATGATTTCTTCAGTGTCACTCACCGCTCGTCTGAGAAGGCCTAGAATTCAAGTTTCAGAGAAGCCTGTTTCTACCTTCCCCTGGGGTAAGAACGCGCGGACCCCGCCCATATCGGCAGGGCCTGGGGAGGAGATGGGGTGACAGGCTGGGTTCAGGTATCCCGACCACGGACAGTATCCACCTGTGCCACACACCCCAAGGGTAGGGGCCTCTCTGAAGGGTCCCTGAAAAGGCCCCCACTCAACCGTGCACAGTGGCCAGCTACCCAGCAATCCCTTCAGGAGGCCACCTGAGGGCAGGCCAGACGACGCCCACGGGCACCCTGGGGGTGGGCTGGGTGACGCAGGGGCCAGTGGACAGTGGGAGGGAAAACGGGGCCAGAGTGCCCGCATCTCAAGTAGAACAGCTGGTGGGAAGGGGCTGTGACCAGCACTTTCCAGAAACACCCACCCAGCCTTCCTGCACTCTCTGCAGGCCCAGCCCTAGAGGGGTGACCCCTCCAACGCCTGACCCTGGCCAGGCCTCTCAGAGGAACGGAGGGGGGGGGCTGAGGGCAGGAGGGGCCCTCAGTCCACACCGGCCCCCCAACCCAGGCCCCGCTGTGCCCTCCATCAGAGCACAGGGGAGACGCCTGATAAGAAGCAGGGGCGCCCTGCTCTGTCCCCGTGTGGATTCGACTTGTGCTGGCGGCTCTGGCGGAGGGGCGGGCTTTGGGGGGGGTGGGGTCTCACCTTCCAAGTTCATGGCGGCCAACCTTTCTACCAACATGTGGGACAGGAAGCGCTCCATCCCGTAGAAGAAAAGGCCTCCGCAGCTGCCCAGCAGCTGCTCCCACTCGGCCTGGCTGCCAAGGGGAGGAGAGAGACCCGGGGTGGGGACACGGCGGGGGCAGCCCCGCGCCTGCTGGAGCCCGGGGGGGGGGGGGGG